ACACAATGATGATGATGATGATGATGATGATGATGATGATGATGATGATGATGATGATGATGATGATGATGATGTGTGCTTTTTGTCACTTGGGGGAAGACCTTTCCAAAAAAAAAAAGTGTCCTCTTGTTTTGACTCTCTTTGGGGCTTTTTCAAACTAGCATTTCCTGACTGAAAAACTGATCACAGCTTTATTTGAATGTTTGTGTTTAATGTACGTTTTCAGTGCTTGCTTGTTTTAATTCGTTGTTCTGAAATCTCCAAATGAAATTGTCTACTAGCTCTGTTCAGTTCAGTTCCACAAAATAAAATAAAGTAAAGTAAAGTAAAACAAAATAAAAGCAAGACAGGTAAAAACAGTGATAAAAATCTGTAAAAGCAAATGGGAAGAACTAATGAACATTGCTTTTAAATGTGTTTTTAGCACTGATTTTATTTATCAATTTTAATACAGTATAATGTTTGTTTAATTCTTTTTAAAAATATTTGTACAGTTGTTTCGAGCTTTAACATATTGTCATCTTAACGATGTAAGCCATCTTGGGTCCACTAAAGGAGAAATATATTAAACAAACAAATAAATAAATGAAATAAATAAATAAATAGTAGACATTTACATTCCATTTCGGGACCAATGCCTATCTAAGTGAAATTAAAATAATAAAATATATAACAATGTTTTCCTTTTGTTCATCACACTTCTGTAACTTGGCTGATACTCGTGGCACCTAAAAAGTAACTACCAGGTCTAATAACCATTAACCCAAAAGTAGTTTGTTAAAATGCATGGCGTTCCTGGTGGCGGATGACGCCCAAGTGCTGAACCTTTTCAGGCTGTGATTGGGAGGGAACCTGACCACAGAAACGGGTTGACCTCTGGGCTATGCTGAGAGTTGCAGTCCAAAAATGTAACTTTTCCAGGCTCTGAGAACTGTCCAAAAATGTAACTTTTCCAAGCTCTGAGAATCAGGGCTTCCACGTGAGCCGTGACTCATTAGCCAGTTTTGAAAGCATTGGCATGTGCAGGTTGGAAGATGTGCCTTTTCTTATTGCATCATCCCATCAAGGTCATGTAATCACAACAATGAACAGGCCCCGTGTTATCGTCTCCGGTCATCGGCCCCATTCTTTCCACCCAGGTACACAACATGGTGTACGCAACACTAAGAGGGTTGTCACCCCCCAAAATATTCCCAAAGGCAGCCACCGGTTCGACCTGTCAATCTGGAAGGGAGAGGACAGAGGATCAGAGACACAAGCCCTGTCTGGATGCCGCCTCCATGTCGGGCAAAATTTCAGAAACAAACACACAAGCACACACCCCACTGCCTCTCCACTTCTAGCTTTTCCAGCCGGATCCAGGAAATCCGTTCCCCTCCCAGTTCAGCGCCCTCTAAATATATTGGACTACAACTCCCAGCTGGCTGGAAGGATGGGAGTTTGTACTTCAACCCATCGGGAAAGAGGAGAAGCAGCCAGAAACATTTGCATTTATGGTTGCTGTCATTGGGTTTTCCAGCTATTTGACTGTAAGTTGATTTGAAGCCAAAAATAGCATATACTGGCCACTGGGGGGGGGGAGATGAATAGGAGTAGGAGCAACAACAACAACATTGTGTGTGTGTGTGTGTGTGTGTTCTGAAAAAGAACAAACCGAGTTCCAGTTCTAGTGTAGCAACTGCTCAATAAATAAATGAGGACTAGAATCTTGAAGGTTTATTGCTAATTTGCCTTTATTTCCAGAATGGGAACAGGAGAGAGAAAGAGGAAAAAAGTTTGTGTTTTAGTGATGTTTCTGCCTTTTCTGTCAGTTTGTCATACACTGTAACTAGCCATGAACACAAATTACTTTTTAAGCATAAACTTCCAAGATCAAAGGGTCTCAAATTACTCTGCGGATTACAGTAATCAATGATTTCCAACTATAGTATTCCAAAGCACATGGCATGCCTTGCATAAATATCTACCGGTACGAACATGCTTCCGAGCAGATGCCTCGTATGCCTTCCTATATTTAATTATCCAACTTTTAAAAAAAGCCGCAGGGACTACACAGCCTTTAAGCCTTTCCCGTTGCTCACCTATTGACAACTTTTGCAGTGAGGATTAAGCAGCAGCAGATGATACATATTGTGAGGGACTAGTGCAGGAAAAAAGGGTCACCATCGTTGATTGGATGGCACCTTCAGAATTGATTTGAGGGGACATGATTATTATTAGGGCAGAAAAGCTCATTTTCTTCTCCTCTCTGTGCTTTCTTGTGTTTTTTCCCCCCCAGGGAACTTGAAGTGAGGCTGAAAGGCTTCTCCGGTTTGAGGGATTCCTGGAAAAGTTTGGAAGATATTCACAAAATCTTTTGGTTTAACAAAACACCAGTCTCAGGTAGGAATGCAAAAAGTGGAGAGATTGGATTGGATTTGATGTGAAGTCATCTTTGTCCTGAGCCCCACCCCGGAATCCTGAAAACTACACATCATAAAAGAAAAGAAAACACTATTTTAAAAACAGATTACAAACTTCCTTTGCGAACACATTCAGAAGATGCTGTAAAACCTTGGTCCTAGAACCAGCTTTATGAGTTTCTCTTCCCCCCCCCCAAAAAACCCCGCTTTCATTTAAAAATAAACACAAATATTCTTCATGGAAGTCAGTAGACGTTGCTTTGCTCTGTTTCGAACATTGCAGAATACGTTGCCGAACACTGGCTGGAGGACAGTTTCTTTGGCTACCAATATCTGAACGGGGTCCACCCCACGATGATCAGAAAGTGCACCGAGATCCCGCCTAACTTCCCAGTGACTCCGGAGATGGTCGCGGGTTGCCTAGGACCATCGACAAGTCTTCAAAAAGAGCTGAAGGTAGTGTACACTTATGTTCAAGAGACCTCTTTGTGGCTCTGGAAACGAGTATTCGAATAACCACGGAAAAGAGATCCTCCTGTTCTTGGTAGATCACCTTTGACACCTGGTCAAGCAAGGCGAGGGATCTGGAAAAGTCCCAGCTGAATTTCGTCACGTGGATGTGCTCGCCATGTAGAGCATCGCAGGTGGAAACTGGAGAACAGCATTCGAGTTCTCTTTTTGCCATGAATTCTTTCCGTTGTACATAACTCCCTCTTCCATCACCCTGTCCCTAAGACAGAGGTAATGCTGATTGCATATGGTTGTTACAAAGACTCCTTTCTAAAAAAATAGAGGATGCAATTGTTCAGGCTCGGCCAGATTCTGCACCTCCTGATGAGAAAAAGACAATGAGTGCCATTTTTTCTCATTAAGGTCTTTGGGAGGTGTGCAAACTACACAAAATGGGTGTATTTCCCCTTTGAAAAGCAAAGCACACAGAGAGAGATACAGAGAGAGGGTGAGAGAGCACACACCCGATGGCTGATTGTTAGAAGAGACACAAGCACCCAATCCAATGCTTCAAATCCTTCAAAATCTGTGTTATAAAGCGTTATTTTGTGCCATTTCACTGACTTTGCCCCAAAATTCCTTTTCTCGGCTGGAAGTGTCACAAAATACCCTCCGTGAGGAAGAGGTATAATTTTGCAAGCAAAATGTGAGGATGAGAGAAGCAAACATCTAAAGTACTAGTCAAGATAGAGTTTCTTCCCCTCTTTGTAACGGATAACATGAAGGTACAGTGCCTCTCTCCTGGTTTATTGTCCTCTTTCTCTCTTTCCCCCAGAAAGGAAACATCTTTATCATTGACTACAAAATCCTCGAGGGCATACCCACCTGCAAGCTGGACGGGATACAGCAGTACCTCGCAGCCCCCATCTGCTTGTTCTACCTTAACCCGAAAGGACAGATGATGCCTTTGGCTATCCAGGTACAGAGAGAGCATGTGTGCACTACTTGTGTCCCACAAGTGTTTCATATTCTGTACTCCGCCAAAGCTGGAAAACCCTCCAAATACGTAAGTGTGATCTTTTTGCAAGCAGAAACACAGAGTTCTTCCTTTCCAAAATTCAGCACTGGGCCCATGGACTGCTAGGTGAAAAGCTGGAGGCCAACCCATCAGGAAGATAAGCAATGGGTCCCAAATTCCGGAAGTGCTCTTGGTCAGATCAGGCCACACTCCTGTGTAAGAATGATAATGTCACCCCACCAGCAGGGGAAGATGGCTGATAATGAAAGAGAGTGCTCTTGGTCAGATCAGGCCACACTCCCATGTAAGAATGATAATGTTACTCCACCAGCAGTGGAAGATGACTGGTAATGAAAGAGTTCCTCCTTCTGGTCCAGGGATCCCAGGGCTCTGATGCAGTGAGACTGATCACGTGAGAGCCAGACAAGCCACAGGACAGAAAGAAGAAGTCTTTAATTACCAAAAATCTAACTTATGCAGTGAGATGTTGGCTAGTAAGAAGAAGTCTTTAATTACCAAAAATCTAACTTATGCAGCAAGATGTTGGCTAGTAATTTCACTATAGGAAACTGCCCAGAGTAGTGGCAAGGTCACTAGATGGAGCGGTATATATGTATACTGTACATATATTATATGTATAAATAAACATACAAACAACCAAATATTCAGCCTTCTGAGTATAGAACAGAATGAACCATCTGAAGTCTTTTAATTACCAAAAATCTAACTTATGCAGCAAGATGTTGGCTAGTAATTTCACTATAGGAAACTGCCCAGAGTAGTGGCAAGGTCACTAGATGGAGCGGTATATATGTATACTGTACATATATTATATGTATAAATAAACATACAAACAACCAAATATTCAGCCTTCTGAGTATAGAACAGAATGAACCATCTGAAGTCTGCTTTCTTCTGGACAGCTCAGCCACACCCCTGGTCCAGAGATCCCTATCTTCCTTCCCACTGACCGTAAATGGGATTGGACGCTGGCCAAGATCTGGACGAAGCTGGCCAACTTCCATGTCCATGAAGTCAACACCCACCTCCTTGAAGCGCACTTCCTGGGAGAAGTCTATGTCATGGCCACTCTCCGTCAGCTGCCCCGATGCCACCCAATCTACAAGGTAAGGTTCTCAAGGGGGGAAAAACCCAGCACATGTTGCAGAGTTTTGAATTTCTGGTGAAATTCCTTTAGCTATGCAATAAAAGTACAGAGAACCACAGAGGAGAATAGCTACCCAGTTTCCCAGACAGTCCACCCCTTTCCCATGAACTGGCACTTAAAGTAATTCACTCTGCGACATTTGTAGCAGAAAGAATTTACTTACAGTTACTTTCAAGTTACACGCTTGTTTAGGCTACTTCCATTACTGCACACATACCTAGCAACCAACTGAACAGATCAACAGCAAACAAACTGCCACTACCCAAGAAAGAAAGGGTAAAAAAAAAAACACTCAGCAAAGAGGTGGGACTCTCTTTGAAATTGAAGACTGGAAGGAACAATTGTTTAATGTTGGGTAGACGGATAATCAACCCACAGGAGACTGGAAGGAACAATTGTTTAATGTTGGATAGACGGACAATCAACCCCCCAGTCACACAAACCACAGACAGCATGGACGCTCATGAAACAATGTTATTTTCCTTTGGTTCAGACCAACCTCTCTCTTCAAGATCCTAGTCCTCCTTGCTCTTTGAACTAGCTTGAAAACATACCAGTGCCCACTTAGGGGAACACGGAAGCAAGAGAGCTCCCTTGCGTTCATTGCATTTAAAACATCCTAGCTTAATCAAATCCCATTTTATGATTGTTAATCTCTGCACGTTAGTTCAGTGAGAAGCAAGATATGTATTAGCATCCCAAAACTTGGGAGTGCTGTTTTTTTTTTAAAGAAAGAATCCTAACATGTCCACGTTAGCTTGTGAATTCTGAGAGACTGAGTAGTTCCAACGAGGAAACGTTTCCAATCTCTCTAAAACCTATCAGGGTGTGAGGAAGAAAGTGGGAGAAATTTTTGTCAAGAAAGCCAAAAACCCAGTCTCAGCCAGGCGGCGTGAACCCGCCCACCCCTGTGGTCTCTTTCCTCTCTACAGCTCCTGATCCCTCATACCCGTTTTATATTCCACATCAACACCTTGGCCCGGACTTCTCTGCTCCATCCGGGAGGATTTCTGGATAAGGTAAGAAACATTCTTAAAAGGAGGATACCATATATTGAGGGTCAAAACGGACATTACGCCAAGCCCGTGCTTAGAAGCGGAAGTCCCCTAAGAGGTTAAAATCCTTTCACTTAAAGGCTCCATCACACCTACCAAAAGAACCCCAGTTAGATATTGTTTGGGCTGTTATTTGGATTGTTTTAAAAGTTTAAAGGGATATTGCTAAATCATTAGCAGTAGCTCCTAGTGATTTAAGGAGCAGTAGCTCCTAGTGATTTAAGTGTTAAAATAAGTGTTAAAATTGTGTTTTATATTATTTTAATATTGTCATATTGTGTTTTTATCCATGTAAGCCACCCCGAGTAGACGTTGTCTAGGGGAGCAGGGTAAAAGTCTAATAATAAATTAAAAAAATAAATAAAGTAGCTGCCACAACAAACATTGATGAGAAGGAAGCAGTCTTTCCCCCTCCCTTGCAGGCAAGAAAGAGACACTCCTTGTTTTGAATTGTAAAGAAAGGGGTGTCGTATGAATGTCCCCTGTCTCTCTCTTTTTTTAAAAAAACCCTGCTCTTCACAATACTTTGCAAGTCTTTTAAAACCTGCTTCCTCCTCCCAACACTGTGCAAAAGGGAAAAGAAAGATGGAAGCTGAGAACAGAGAGGGAGAGATACACAGGGAAATAAGGAAAAAGGGATGAATGAGGAAAGGAGGGAAGGGAAAAGGGGAGGAGGAGAGAAGGCTTGTTCTGCTCTATCGATATGTCACTTTTGGCAATTTAAAAAAAAGCCAATGTGGGCCTGATTGTCCCACAAAACAGTAGAGAAAATGAACTGATACAAAATTAAAGAGCAGTGTAGCCTGATATAACAGTTGAAGTTGAAAGAAATTGAGACGGTGCTAAACAATGTAAACACTCCCACCAATATATATACCATGTGACTGCTGGAGGAAAATGTTTCGGTATAAGAGAGGGATGAAAAGAATCAGTATAACTGGTGTTCTTTTCTTATGTATGATTGAGCCCTAACCTAACCCAAGATTTCTCACCTTCATACCCTGCAGGTTAGTTTGACTTCATTTCGTGATTTTCAGTAAAGGGTTAGCAAACATTTACGGCTTGTAAAAGCGAAGGAACACTTCTGCATTCAGGGCAAACCAGGTTTAAGGGGCTTTCAGGAATCCCTTAACATGGTTAAACCAGTAGAGGAAATGGGCGGGAGGTCCCTTTCAGGAAAGCAAGGCGGTAGCAGTCAACCATTAAAATCTAGTGGCAAACAGAAACCTTCTCAGAATGTTTGCTTTCTGTATTTGCCCCTCTTTGATGGAGAAATTTGGGAGCATGATGGACCACCAGTTTTCATCAGCAAGGAGAGACAAAATGCAGTCCATGACAATTCGTGTGGAGCAAAACTCTCCCTCTGAAAATCACGGAAGTAGCCTGTCCCTGATTTAACAATTTAGAACTTTGGGTGCGTTGAGACAAATCGATTTCCCAGTGGCTGGAGGGGAAGGGGAGGCAGTGGGTAATCGCAAGAAGATCTGGACCCCTTCATTCCTGCAGAGTGAACCGTTTGAGGGTGGAACGGGTAGCCTCCTTGACCCCTTGTCTCTCGGTCTGCAGGCAGCTTCGACAGGGCGGGAGGGGATGGTACAGCTGATGGCCAAGGGCACCCAAACCACCACGTACGCCTCCCTTTGCCTCCCTGATGACCTCCAACAGCGAGGAGTCACTTCCGTCCCTAACTACTACTACATGGAAGATGGGATGAAGATCTGGACAGCCATAGAGAAGTGAGTCTCGAAGGGGTGGCTGAGCTTGGGGGTCTGTCTTCAGAGACGCACCTTGCTGAGCATGCACCTCAAGGGTGTGTGTGCAGGAAAGCAAAGGCGCTTCCATACAGCCCTGAGCATGGACAGAAAATGAGAAGCTGCCTTATGAGGCTGGCGGGCAACAGCCACTTTGCTGTGGGTTTTAGTCTGAATGTTACAGAATTTCTATAGAATACTAGAAGATGTGAGGGACCTTTTCAGTAGGGAAAACGTCTTTTTTAAAGGAAAATATTGGAGGGGGGGGATTAGAAATGGGAATGGACTTCCATGGTCTAGGAGTGAGCAGATCTCTGCTCTCTGGAGGTCCCCCCCATCACTAGAGAAGTTGAGGCAGCTACTTCAGATTACTGATTTTCAATGAATCCAGGCACGACAACAAGCTGTTAGCTTGTTGCTTTGATAGTTATGTATTTTGACCAGAGATAGGCACAAATTAAAAAACAAATTGCCAAATTTGTTCAGAAATTGCTAATTCGTTGATTCATATTTGTACAAATCAATGCCCCGACAAATGACAAATTGATGAATTTTTAGCAATTTTTGATTTGGTGATTTCTTTGGCTATAAAATGGCTCCCCAGTCACCTAGAGACACCAAAATCACAGGGAAGCTTCCCATGACTCTCCTCTACAAGCACTCCAAGTTTGGTGTAGATTGGATTTCCCCAAGCCAGCTGCAAAAGGGCACTGTCCTGGGAGCCCCACTTTCTGGGTATATAATTTGGATGTCTGAAGTCAAAACTTCACCCAACGTGGAACGATTGTAGAGGAGAGTCAGGAGAAGCTTCCCTGCACATTTGGTGTCTTTAGGTGTCTTTGAGGGCCATTTTGTAGGGTTTTAAATTAAAAATGAATTGACGAATCGATTTGTCAAAACATCAGGGGGAAAATTGTAAATTTGCAATTTGTGATTTATTGACCTGGACGAATCACGAATAGAAACAAATCCCCATTTTTTGTGATTCGTGTCCATCTCTAATTCGGACTGCCAGGGATAGGGAGAAGTCTATGTTGGGTTTCTTCTCTTGAAATCTATGCCTCTGTCCCTCAAGGAGTCGAGGCGAGGAGTCGTTGGGCTCTGCAAGTCTATGGGTTTGAGTCTCCAATCCAAGTCTTTGGTATCAAGCCCCAAGTCTGAGGCCCTATAAAAGACAAGCTTTTCTCCCCAGAAAAAGAAAAGGGAAGGTTGTGTGGGGTCCGAGTCGAGAGTTGAGCGCACATCATTGATAGCGAGTCCCATGACTCAAGTCCCCACCCTGACTTTCAGGAACCCTGTATCTTCTTTCTTCCACCTTCAGCTTCGTCTCTGCCATTGTTGGCTTCTACTACAAATGTGACGCGGAGGTGAAGGACGACCCCGAAATACAGGCGTGGGTCCACGAGATCTTCACGGAAGCATTTCTGGGCCGGGAATCCTCAGGTGACACTCCCACCATCGATGACTCTCTGTTTATCTCTGTTTCGTTCCACCTATGGTCCCCTTTATCTACAATGATACAGGCAACTGGACCTGAAACAAGAAGCTTCAGGGCACCACTCCCTGGTTATGACTCCTTGCAGAGGTGGGAGGACCATCCCGTCATTGCGTGATGGGTCCCTGTCTTAAATCACAGACGATTAAGGCACCAGCCCTTTTTGGTGAAGCAACGGAGAGGAAGAACGTTGTGGTTGACTGACAACCCTGGGGGGTCTTCCTTTCCAGACATTTGCATGGTTCACACCTCACGGGGAGGCCTGGCCCCCTCCAGAGGTCTGCCTTCTCCTTCACAAGCGGCCTGCATACTAGCAACAGAAAGACTACTCGCTAAATGCCTTGTCGGTTGAACCGTTCAAGCTGTCTTGACACCACGAGACAAGAGCCAACATTCCTCATGCCAGTGGAGAGCAGGGTCTCTGTAACTTTCTTAAAAATGTTTCTAGTGTGTTTTCCTGTGGAAAGCAAAGCACATGGATGAACAAGCGCACGCACACAGCCTCATATCCGAAGTGGAGAAGGTCCAGTTAATGGTTAACAAAAACACAAGCACGCCATACAGCCCTTCAAATGCAACTGTCCAGCTAGATCAGGGACAATCAGTATAGCTCCCACAGTTTTGAGAAATGTGCATCTTTGTGTATAAATGGATGGCACTCTGGGGTATTGAAGCCCTCCACCCTGCAAATACTGGAAATCACAGACACAGTGAACCCCATATATATAGCATGGTAGTGAAGGCAGGAGGAGAAAGGGGACAACAGAGGACGAGATGGATGGACAGGGTCATCAAAGCGACCAAGATGACTTTGACGCAACTCCGGGAGGCAGTGGAAGACAGGAGGGCCTGGCGTGCTCTCTGGTCCATGGGGTCACGAAGAGTCGGACACGACTTAACGACTAAACAACAACAACAAAAAGTGATCAATTGTGGCAATACCTCTTGGAAATACCTATTTCTCTGGGTTTTTAAAAAATTATTATTATTTAATATTTTCAGACAATGGATCAGTGAAAGCATGGGTATTTATTGATTGATCCCAAGGGTATGGCGGTCCTACTCTATTTTGCTTCAGAAAAGGCTATTTTCCACAAAACTAGTCATTTTTCCCCAGCTGAGAACTCCATCGAGAGCACCACGAAATTTCTTGTCATCCTTGGGGGCGGGGGAGTTAGAGGAGAATGTTCTTCTTCCTTATTCTTGCTGGTGAGGATAAGAAGAGTGAGGACTTATTTCTGTACTGCTCATGGTGCTAGATCACTCTGTCATTTCGACAGCTCCCTCCGCGCTCGCAAAACAGGTATTTTCGGGACCTAAGCTTCGCAAGACAGCAATTTAAACAGCTGATGAACAGTTCGCAAAGCAGCTTTCCTATGGCCGATCTTCGCTAGACAACGATGATTCTTCCCCATTGGGACACATTAAACAGGTTTCAATGCATTCCAATGGGGAAATGCTTTTCACTAGACAATGATTTCGCTAAACAGCGATTTCAGTGGAACGTATTATCATCGGCTAGCAAGGCACCACTGTATCCAATTGTATCCTGCTTCTTGCATACACACCTCAATGCTCAGAGAATGGACAAAAAAATGGGCGCTGGTACACCCAAAATGGCCGCCGGGACGCTCAAAATGGCCACCAGTACACCCAAGATGGCTGCCAGAACAAGGGAAAACATTGGAGAACGGTGAGTTTGGGGCCCATTTGGAACACATTAAACTTTGTTTAATGAGTTCCAATGGGTTTTTTGGATCCGTTTTACGATGTTTTCCCATAGCGAAGGTTAATCCGGAACGGATTAACCTCGCTATGCGGGGCACCACTGTATATTAAAAATTGCGGGGGCCTTCTTTGGTTTGCTGGGAGACAATCAAATGAAGTTATCACCTCTTGCTAGGCTAGGATGTCATGTGAGAGCAACCACGGATCCCGAGATCTATATTAAGTTTGTTGTGGAGTTTTGAGTTTCTGGTTATATCCCTCTAGCTGGGCAGCTGAAGTGCAGGGATTCGCAGAGCGTAAGAGCTCCGAATTCTCCAGATCACTCCATCCCTTTGCTCATTAATTGGCAGAAAGAATAAAGGTTCCGTTACTTGCAATTGAACAGATCAAACAGCAAAACATGACTGCTTTCAGCCAAGGACTGATTGACTACGAACAACAGACAAAAGAGAGGGAAAAAGCACTGAGCAGAGAGGCGGGGCCTTCTTTGAATTCAGAGACAAGAGGGAACCATTGGTTAGTGCTGGATAGATTCGCAGTCACCTCAGCTCAGAAAAGGTCCCTCCCAGCCAAATCTGCTAAAGGCTGCATGCGAGGTTGGAAAAACTCCAACAGTAAATTTAGCAGCTCTTGCTGTAAGTGTGAGGGAATACCCAGCACACACCAGCATCCAACCTTGGAAAGGTCATTTTTTTGTGAACTACAAGTCCAAACATACTCCAATGGACCAGGGATTCTGGGATATGTAGGCCAAAAAAGCGATGTTTCTGTGCCGCTGACCAGTGCACTTCAGCACTCATATGATGTAAGACAAGGTTCTTCTGAACGGCTGGAGGAAAGCTCAGCTTCCTGTCTGTTGTGTCCCACTGCAACAGGAGCCCCTTCTACCTTGGAAACGAAAGCTGAGCTGACCAAGTTCCTCACCATGATCATCTTTTGCTCTTCGGCCCGCCATGCAGCGGTCAACAGTGGGCAGGTACGTAGCTCTGAGCCAAGGGAGGAGGCCTTTCTGCCTTTCAGACGATGTTTCGTTTCCCCCTTCTTCTTGTTCACCCTCCAGCACGATCTCCCTCTTCCCAGCACCCCGTAACCCCTTGTTCTTTCTCCTGTGTCCTTGCGGACAGTTTGATTTCGCCGCCTGGATGCCCAACACGCCGGCCACTTTGCGACAGCCTCCTCCGAAAGTCAAGGGCACCGCGTCCTTGGAGAGCATTCTGGACACCCTCCCGGATGTCAGCTCCACCTGCACTCTCCTGGTGGTGCTCTCCGTGGTGAGCTACCCGCTGCACGAACAGGTAAGTGAAGAAAGGGGACGGGAACAAGATTTTCAAGTGCCAGACTGTCATTTCTTCACAAGAATTGTGTTAATGTTGTATATTACAGTTGGATCTCTGTATCCGGGGTGGTGGTGGAGTTATTCTAACTTCCCTCTAGATGTGGAAAAATGTGGATTACAGTAGTACCTCGGTTTACGAACGATTAACCTAATTTTCGGTTTACAAATGGAAATCCATTGCACATAATGCCTCGATTAACATTTTTGTTTGTTTTGTTTGTTTCGGTTTCCGAAGAAGGTTCCCCCACGATGCATTGTGCATGGAGGTTTATAGCACCGCCCCCGTTCCTATGGCAATCAGCATTTCGGCTTACGAATTTCCACTTGACATAATGTCCCGCAGAACGCATTAATTTCGTAAACCGAGGTACTACTGTATAGCAAACTAGTATAAGAGCGAATGCTGTCCATAGCACAGTCTCTGGCTCTCTCTAGTAACCACTTCTGATAATGACACCGTGGAAATACAGTTCTAGACCACCTCTCGCGAGCAGGACAGAAATAAGTCCTCACTCTTCTTGTGTCTCACCAGCAAACATGAGGAACAATAACATTCTCCTCTGCCACCACAAAGATGGCAAGGAATTTGGCTATGATGATGATGATGATGATGATGATGATGATGATGATGATGATGATGATGATGATGATGATGATGATGATGATGATGATGATGCCTGGCTGGCTGCAGAGCCAGAGGCTGGGAGTTCGATTCCCCCGCTAGGTCCCCCAGGAAAAGATCCAGCCTGGGTGGCCTTGGGCAAGCTGCACAGTCGTCCCAGGTCAACCCAGGAAGAACGGGAAACCACTTGTCTTGCTAGAAAACCCTAATTTGGAATCAACTGGACTGCACCTAATTATATACCATTTTTGCAACTTTTTCCCTTCTGAGCAGATACAGAAAACATCCCCCCCCCAAAAAAAAACCTCTTAAGGGACGAAAGATGGAATTGAGGCATCGTAGCTTTTGACTTTTAGGAATCCTCCATCTGGAGGTAGCTGTATCTGTCCACTTCAGCTCACCTGTCTTTGTTCTCTCTCCCCCCCCCTCCCCAGGGACGCCTGGGCCACTACCCTGATGAGCATTTTACAGAAGAGGAACCCAAGCGACACATTGCCGCCTTCCAAGAACGCCTGGCTGTCATTTCCAAGACGATTGAAGAAAGGAACAAAAAGCTGGCCCTCCCTTACAGCTACCTGAACCCAGTCTTGGTAGAGAACAGCATCGCTGTGTAACACCAGGGGATGGCTCCTCGGTGTAGCCAAGCACCCTCTCTTGGCCGAAGACAGAGGAAAAGCTGGCTTGGGGCGCAGTCACACTTGCCAAACCCACCCCCACCCCCTTATATTGATTATGCGGTTACTTAAATCACTTTATAAATTTCTGTTCACTTGATGTTGATTCATTAGCCAACCAATCATGTTTTTCCCCCCACACCATCAGCATAGCTTTTTATAAATGATCCCTGTATCGCTTCAGTCCTTATCATTTTGGTGTGTACAAATGTTGATGTTGATTTATTTACTTTGTCATTGGGTAGGGTTTTTGGGCACCGTGACCACTGTGTCATGACCCCTTTTTTTAATTTTTAAAAAGTTGTTGTAGTTGTTTAGTCATTAAGTTGTGTCTGACTCTTCGTGACCCCATGGACCAGAGCACGCCAGGCCCTCCTGCCTTCCACTGCCTCCCATAGCTGGGTCAAATTCATGTTGGTCGCTTCGGTGACCCTGTCCAACCATCTCGTCCTCTGTCGTCCCCTTCTCCTCTTGCCTTCACACTATCCCAACATCAGGGTCTTTTCCGGGGAGTCTTCTCATGAGATGGCCAAAGGATTGGAGCCTCAGCTTCAGGATCTGTCCTTCCAGGGAGCATTCAGGGTTGATTTCCTTCAGAACGGAGAGGTTTGTTCTCCTTGCAATCCAGGGGACTCTCACGAGCCTCCTCCAGCACCACAATTCAAAAGCATCCATTCTTCGTCGGTCAGCCTTCTTTAGGGTCCAGCTCTCGTTTCCATACATCGCTGCTGGAAAAATCACAGTTTTGACTATGCAGACCTTTGTCGGCAAGGTGATGCCTCTCCTTTTTAAGCCGCTTTCTAGGTTTGTCAAGTGGGAATAGTGAAGCAAAGAGCTTGTTTTCTGCAGGCGGGGAATCTACACTTCTGCCCTTGGAACAATTGTATCTCTAATGCGAAGACAGTCTTGAATTTGGACACATACTTTATCCAAAGCTGGAGAAGGAGAAAGGGGGGGCATGCATGGAGCAGCTTAATTTGGAATTTGCCAGCCATTCAACACCCTCAAATGACATTTTGGACACATACTTTATCCAAAGCTGGAGAAGAAGAAAGGGGGGGCATGCATTGAGCAGCTTAATTTGGAATTTGCCAGTCATTCAACACCCTCAAATGAAATTTTCCTTGGGCATGATTGGGTTTCTTTCCACAATGATTTGGCACATCCCCCCGTTGTGTGTGTGTGTGTGTGTGTGTGTGTGTGTGTCTTTTCCATAAATACGGAAGCCCCTTGGATCTGCATTTGCAACGTGATTGTACGGAGATGATTTGTGACATGTCAACGGACTTCTACACTTCCACTTTAACATTTTGCATGTTTGATCAACTCTTTTAGGCTGAACCCATTGTTACGTTCCCACTAGGAACAGGAAACTGAAAGGAAACAATGGGGAGAAAAATAGATGTTGCTTGTGATTTCTACTTATGGGGAACTGGGGGAATACATATTAATTTCTTTTAAAAATAATAAAAGTTCAATTCGCATGCACCCAGTTTCATCCCCTTCTCATTGTTTATTCATTTAATTCTGAGCATCCACATCATAACAGGGGTGTCACTGAATGCCTTAAGGTGTATTTGAACTTTTGAACCAATAAAGTCCATTATAACATGTTTTTTTCTCCAAGGAATCCTTTTGCGAAAGACCCCTGACTGTTTTTATAACCTCCAAGTCACAGCATCTTTTGGCTGGCAAATTCTTTCTATTACAGATGGAAGAATTTATCAGTTCACTTTTCCCCCCGAGGGCCTAACTGTACGTTACAGATAGCCCATCATTAGAAAAGGAAATTCCTTAACTATGGAAAACATATAATTCCCACAAATGCAGCTTTTCTCGCTTCCCATACCTTTCAAATTTGCTTGATTTGGTTTGGTTTGTCATCAGTTTTGGGGAGGTAAGGCCAGCACTGTTTGCAAGTATGTTGTCCCAGATTTGCTCAAATCACATTACAAATGATGGGTCAAGTGACCTGTAATCAACAATAGGGCTCTGATTCATCTCAAAAAAACCTCAGATTGCTTCCAACTCCACTGGGAAGAAATTGGCAAATGTCTATCAATTTGCAAATGTCTATCAATTCTTACTGGAAATGGTGGAAACGACAGTCTCACCCATTTCTGCACTGAGCGGCCTTGATAGGTTGGCCTCTTCTGAGCACAAAGGACTCCACCTGTTGTTCAGCTGTTAGAAGTGAGGAGTCTTTTCGAGGGCAAAGGGCAGGAACCCTAAAAATCTTAGCATACCAGACGGATGAATATGCAGGGATTCAAAGCAAGATTATGCGGAGCTCAATGCAGCCAGCATTTTAATAGCAGTAACATTTAAGAGTAGACCTTTGTCTAGATGGGCGGGATAAAAATCCAATAAATAAATAAATAAATATTAGCTGGATGAATCCAACGGTCTTCCTTCCTTCCTTCCTTCCTTCCTTCCTTCCTTCCTTCCTTCCTTCCTTCCTTCCTTCCATC